TTACACGGCCGTGGTTGCAGCTAAAAGAAGACAGCTAAAACTAAAACTGTCCTGAACACTATAAGAACATGTCTAAGAAACACTAGACAATACACAACTGTAACTATACTCAGATCCTGCCTTAATGATAGGGGACTGATATTGATAAGCTTATTAACATACGCATTCACACATTTGGCATTTGCCAGCTTTGCTTCCCAGCTTGGGCTCCAACAAATGTGTTGCTCTTAGCCTGTATTGTATTTTTAAATCTTTCTTATTTCTCAAGGATTATCGCTTGTTCTTCATGTGAGAAATTTGCAGGCCCAAACATGTGCGTTTTTGCAATTGGTCAGCTTGTGCCACTGCCCCTTTTATACCAGGGTTGACTTGTCAAGTTAATAATCAGTGTCATGTGACTACTTAGAATGACTGCAGTTGTTAGGCTTAGTGAAGTCAGATAATAAAACGTTATCCTGGGTATGCTGAACTTGCTTTATAGCGCAGGCCCCAGGCAACTCTCTTTTATTGTGCCATAGTCCAGTTGTGACACTTCTGGCAGCTAACAGGGGTCAGTGTAAGCACTCTGACGGGTCTGTAGCAACACATACACAACAAGCTGTGATAAAGTACCTTTGATACCTTTATCATAGCCAGCACAAAGATTTTCAGCAATTTGTGCAACAATACCTCCTGTGTGGAGGTGGCCCACACAGGTCAGGCACTGCTCTCCTCATCAGTGAGCCTTAGGCGCCCATGACTCAGCCATCGGCTCACCAGTTGTCATTCCTCTGACTACTTCTGGCAGGTACCAACCACTGCATTATGAGAACAAGACCTGCCATTCTGGAGACGCTCTGACTCTGAGTATCACAATGTGGCCCTTGTCGAAGTAGCTCAGCCCTTTCGTTTGCTGCTTTATATACCCAACCTCTTGACAGGTGCCATTGTAACGAGAAAATCAATGTTATTCACTTCACCTGATCGGCGCAGCTGCACAAGACAAATATAGTGGGAAACAGCCTGTTAAACAACCCACAACTGGTCAGAATCAAGTGTCACATCAGTCAAGCAACAGTGTGAACGCACTGTCAGAACACTCAAACATTTAACAGTTTCATTGTTTTGACATAACATCAACCATGTATTTATCACGTCTTGTCATTACAATGTTTGAATTAACCTGAACCAGCTTCACGGTCCTGAGCCACATTACATATCACCACTCTATCACTGACAGAACTAAATAAATTATTCACACAAAAGCAGGGAAAGAGACCCAATGGAAAACTCCCTGGGCACAGTCGCCCCATTTGCAGTTGTGGGAAATCTGTCAGAGCAAGAGTGCCTTCCCTAGAGGGACAGAGGACAAATGACACCCACTCTCCTCATTCAATTACTACGAGAGAGGCCATGGGAGCCAAATGCTGCAGGAGAGCAGGCTTCACAGAGGGGAGAGACTCACCCACACACAGACTTAAGTAGAACTGTCTGCTGCAGTCAGCTTCAATTACCAGTGTCCACTACTAATGCACAACATGTGAAACTAGAAGAACAATCCCGTCTTTTACCCCCCATTCCACAAAGTTACATGCGGATTATGTTTGCATAGTTCTCTGCATAATTCCTAAAATATAATTTCACAGACTTTAATTGTGAATCATAGCTAAACAGTGGTCACTTTAAACTCCAGTGACCCAGTAAGCAACAAATTACTTCTAAAAATAGAAGAGAATTTATGCAAAGAAAAAAAAAAAAAAAGCCTGTTGGACTGCCGCACATGTCTCCAATTATACATGAACAACCACAATCGTACTCAAAAGGAATTGTAACACAATACGCAGTATCCTTGATGAATCACAAGCGCCTGACTTTTTTCGCAAACATTTTGGAAAATGAACTACATATATTGCCTTCTTGCAAAAGTCTGCTGTGCAGTGTGTCCCTAAGTGACACTAGATATATCCTGGTACAGCACCACATTATGACACATCCATAATGATAACCCAACCCGTACACACACACACACACACACCACCTCATCATGTTCTCTGCCTATGCAGGAGACCTCAGTTTTCCTTCTACGGTAGCTGTGTGCTCTCCCTGCAGCCATAAGTCTATTTCTAAATGACTGCTGTTGTCTGTACTTCAGCGTAGTAATGAACGGGTCAGGAGGTCTGACCTGATGTTCACACGTCTCTCAGCTCCACTTGAGAGGAAAACATTGACCACTTAACCCTGCTCTGCTAGCCGGCTATACATTAACTCCGTGTCACAAGGCAGATTTTTAATGGGTCAAGATCTCTGCGGAACTTTCTTGTTTAAATAAAAAAAAAGCAAATGTGAATTAAGTGCTGTTTTTCCTCTTGAACTACTTTATTTTAATGTATTCTTCGAGTCAATATATGTAAAACCAAAATGTAAATTTGTAGTGTAACAGCGCCAGATATTTGTACTATTAACATCATTATGGTGGGCTCTGTATGTGCATACATTGGGCACACTTTGCTAAGAAACACAAGTATGTGTAACTACTGTATACTGACTACACCAGTTTTCCTGTGTGGGTAGCGTGAGGAAACATGGGAAACGTGCGCTTTATTGCCAGAATCTGAGAATTTAAGAGGATTAATCGGGACCGCTCCGGGCTAAATTCCAGTTTGGTAAATATTACAGTGATTCTTTGTGTTTTTGGCAGTCCTCTCAAGAATAATGAAGACATCTTGGTTGTCTGGCGCAAGCACAACAAATGTTTGACTGTCATTTTACATAATTAAAAGGAAGAAGTCCCTGGCTATACGCGGAGAGGGTCATAAAACTTGATTTACACACGCTGAAGTGTATTATCGTTTTACACAAATCACTTTCAAAAACCCACTTGGAAGATGACTTTACAGCTATATTTGAAGGAACTTCTTGCAATAACAATGTGATGGGCATTATTCAGATATCCTGTAAAATAAGAGTAGAATAACACCAACTGCCATAACATTTCTGACTTAATATCACGCTGTTACTTGTTTGCGTTTCCACTGTGTTGCACTGTATCACATGCCAAGTTAGGATATATTTCATGAAGCTCCACAGAGTAGTGAAAGCCAACTGCTGGTGCGGCGCTCCGCTGGATGTTACTGATCCACTAGCTAAGCCCATGAAGCCATGCATATATGTGTGTAAGACAATAGCTTCTGTAAAGCACCTCTTGCTGTTATACTGAGAGGGAGAGCAAGCTCTGGTTCCACACCTGTTGCCCTGGGCCACAAGGGACAAACTATCTCCATTAGACTCATTCTTTGCTTTCCAATGGACCGGGCTTTTGACAAGCTAGGCCACATCATCATAAAACTTCAGTGCGCACGCTGATAAGGCCAACCCATACCTGACTAAATCCAGTGGCTTATGGACTTTGCATTTCATTGCTCTCTGAGAGCAGGATATATCATAGCTACATATGGAGGTTTTTATAAGGAGCATGGAATTATCTGAGGTCAAACGCAAAATAAATAAATAAATAAGAGCCCGCATTCAAAATGCCTCATAGATAAGCCATTCAGTAAAACTGAATGCGAAGCTATTTGATTTGGAAGAGAAAACAACCACAGAATCAGTCAGTAAACCACATGTTACTGGAACAGAGAAGATGCCCGAAGAGCTTAGAGGTCTTTAGTTTGATGTTTAGACTCTAATTTCACCTCATTTTGGCAGTAAGCAACGCTGACCTTTTTCATGCTACCTCAAGTGTTCGACTTTTTAAGCCTGAGGATTCAAATTAATATTAAATCTGATTATGGGGGAAAAAAAAAAAAAAAAAAGTTGAGTGAATGTTTTGCTGAATCTAACATTTTACAAAGATGAAAGGAAGACGTGATGTAAACTGTCTTTGGAGTGTGCCTTAGCTCTCCCGGTGCAGATTAAATCCAGTGCTGGCAAAAGAAAAGGAAACGGAGCATCTTTGTGCTTTGGTATTGACTGTACAAATTAGCAGGGAGGAGACAATGTGGCCTCAGGTTGGGAGAAATGAAGTTGTCCTAAATTTTTGCTGAACAGCTTTGAAGTTGTATCCTGAAACTGTTGAAGGCCAGCTCTCTCTTTTTGCTGCCATTTTCTGCTTCTTTCTTTTTTTCAGTGCAAAAAGACACAGCATGATGGAGTATAATTCAAACCATCTTTAATACAGACCACAGAAGCATAAATAATTGAATAAAATCGGCAGTGGGTTTTCTGAAATGCACCAGCAAATAAGCCTACAACGTCTTTTTTTTTTTCTCCTCTCTCTCCGTCTCTCTCTCTTTCGGACACATTCTAAGAAGTCTAAATCTTGTGGTGGAGAAAAAAAAAAAAAAGTCAAGGAGACCTAGACTCTGGGTTTGGCTGCTCTAAGTGGGCCTGGCTCGCATGTGGTGAGGAGGAACCGATGCCCTGGCAAACCATGTGGAAATACTGTGCATCAAACACCAACAAGGCCCTTATAACACATTGCTTCCAGTCTGGCATAAGAACACACATATTCAGCTTTAAGATTAAGATTCTTCGGTCATGACGTGTTTGCCTTGAACTGAAGAGTTGCGGAAAACAACGAAAATAGGGCTAATTAGCAAAAATGAAAAATGTATGAAAAGAAAAGAGTTTTCTTCTTAAAACATCTGTTTAGAAGACAAAAAAAAATATTAAATTGAGCACTGGTGTTAAAAATACATTCAGCAAGTGGGGTCACTGTTTTGTCTTTTTTTTTTTTTTTTTTTTTAAGAGGAATACTTTCGATCACTCTGGGGAACTGGCTGCTCACTGATCTTTGACCTCAGAGTGCCAAATCAAAACATTGGCTGAAATAAAGTTATCATAGGGGGGGACTGAGCATCATTAACTGCACTTTAACAACTAACATCCCCACCACACCCCATCTTTGTCACAATGTGTTTGGCGTAAACACGACTTACGAATATGTCACTACAGAAATAATAATTTCATTAAACTTCTACTGTCGGAAGCAGAATATAGTGAAAATCGAGCAGGTCACTTACACTGTTGTCACTCGACCCTGACACAGGGTAGACCGTCCAGCCGAGCTCCGCCGTGGCTGTGGTGGAGTCCATGAGCGTCTCTGCGGAGAGACACAAGAAGAGATGGCGGTCAGATAATCTCCCGACAACATGAAAACGTTGCTGTGGTTGAATAAAAACTGCTTGAGAGGTGGAATATATGTCAGAAAATAGTGCAATATCCAAAAAAATGGGCAACGGCGGATTCAGATCAACACAAATGTAAAGCTATACAGCGCTGTAAGCAGTGCGCTTCAGATACAGGTTAACTACAAAGGCAGAAAATCTGTCAGCAACACTTTTGATAATTGATTATTTGCTACTGATTAATGCTTTACTAGTGAGAATTTGTTGTAAAAAAAAAAAAAGAAATCTTTAATATTACGTTTTGGACATTTGTACTGCTGGTCAGACAAAACTGGAAGTTAAGAATGCCCGTTTGGACTTGAAAATTGTGCTTTCTTCACAACTTTCTGACATTTTACTAATGCTATTATCTACACTTAGACTGACTGTATTAATGCCAAATTCAGTTGTTACAGCAGCATGACAGTGCTGGAGAGTCAAATAGGGTCTGCAATGCAAGTTGCTAACTAGTTTATGAAATACATTGCCAGAAAGTTAATAAAAAAAATGATCCCATCACTTTTCCTTTTTTAACATAAAAAAACAAATGTATCTGTCTCATTGGCTAAACTTCAATATTGTCCAAGCTCTATATTTAACATATTAAACAACTCATTGGGAAAGGTTGCTAGATGGATTGCTACTGGTTTGTTAGGCAGAACTACGCCATCATCTATATGAGTCTGTGGGGAAAACAACCGGCTGGAAAACCAAATCTCCCTTGTACGGAGGAGGGGCTACTCTATATGCCGTGGATTAGCTCGTGGAAAGAAACACCTCTGGTAATTGGGGTCAAAGAGAATGTGCCTCCTGTCTGTCATGAGGTCCTCTGTGGCACACATTCCACCAGCCTGGCCCAACTGTCTGTCATATGCTTACTGAGCCATTCATACTGTCACCTTCTTTGCCTCTTTTCCTTAATCTCTGTGCCCATGCCCTGCCTGCTTTTCCACCCACAGCTTCCTCCCAGCTCTGCCACTCTCCGCATGTAACAGAGGGCAGGCCTAATGAATTTCTGCTGCTGATTAGGCCTGTGTCAGTCTTGTACTTCGGCGTTGAGCTGCAGCAGATGGAGAGACCATTCATCAGGTTCAAGGCGTCAGCTGCAACTCCAAAATGCCACAGAGGGATTTAGAAACCCCCTCGACAAACACGGCTACTAAGCTTAACATAAGTCACAGCCAGCGCGTGTAATGCAGGTCCGGGAGACAACTGCACGCTGCATCTCTTCATTAATATTGTGATATGGGTTGCCTGAACTGGTGCTAATAGTGGGGGTTAATCGAAAGTAGATCCTAGTAAGGAAATAAAACAGAGTCCATAAAATCTGATATAATGTAAAAATGTCTTTTTGCAGGTATGAGCGAACGAAATCAAAGAAAGGGGATCTGAAGTTATGTCTGGCAGGATTTTGTTTAAAGCTCTCTGCGTACTCAGCTCTGTACCAGCTTGCAGGATATTTTAGAGACTTCCAGTTGTTTCATAACCCTGGATTTCCTCTGATTTATATTCCAGCAAAAGCCACAGCTTTTAATTAACAGGCTCTGCACTCGTTGGTTTATTTCAGGGGCTTTTGCTGACTTTCAGCGACTCACCAGTACTCACAAGACATAATACTAGATTTCACATCCTATTCAGTTATCACAAAGCCCAAATCGTATAATTAGGCAGATGAGACTGCAATTGAGCAGCTATTGATAACCTTGTGTGTGACTCAGAGCCGAGCAGTCTACATGGGTGTTAGGCAGTGAAATGGTAATTATCCCCCGTAATGATAACGATAATTAGTAGAGGAGTAAAGTGAGAATAATAAACCCCCTCTGTGGTGGTTTAGGGAGTGGTGTGGGGGAACAGGGAGCACATTTCCCCAGGAATGTTAACACAGAGTGGGTGACACGCCATCTCCCCTGACCTCCTTTTTTCTCTTTTTCTGTCTGTAGCCAAACATCCCGTTTTCTCTTTGTTTCCCCTTATCCACCATTCCCTTTACACTTTCTACTATCTTTCTCTGGCTCTCCACTCTCATGCAGACCTCCTCTCCCTTCCCTTCCCCTCTCTCCTGCTATCAGTGGCCCACATGCTGGACAAGTAGCGCCTCACCCTGAAAGACTGATCACTTCTCTTCCTCCTGCTGTCTACACTTCAGTCCTGGCAGCCACACCGATTCATTACCTCCCCTGGAGCAGAGCGGCGCATAGCTCAGCCACCGGCTCGCTCCCGGTCTGAACCCCCAGCTGTGGCAGAGCATGGCGGCTCAGCAAGACATGCTGGCTATTAATCAGGAGGAAGACATGGTACAGAGGCTCCTGCCTGAATGTGACCACAGGAATCACTTATTTTTGTTTTTTTCTTCCCGCTTGTTTACAATGTGAGGATTTAGAATTTTGCCACTCATGGGAAAGGCAAGCGTTGTCTTTTGAGAAAGAATGTGTTGACATCGAGCTACCATTTGTCCCAGTCGGTGCCTCCACTGTAGCTGTGCGTTAGGCACAATGAACATTATGTAGTGTGAATGAAGAGGCGCAGACCTGAGAGGACTATCAACACGGTAAAAAAAAAGAAAGAAAAAAAAAAGTGGCCACAAAGAAGCAAATATTCTTCAGGCACTCTTTTTGGCAGAGCACGGAAAATAATTATAATAAAGGTCTTTAATTAGTTGGGTAATGTGACTTAAAATGCCCCACAGACCTCACAGGGTTTCTATTTGGACTTAAAAAAAAGAAAAAAAAGACATGATTTTCTACATTAAACAGGGACTCTGAAGTACCAGGTGTAACTTGACTGTCAACCGAGTCAATTAGGATGCATCACTCATTTAAAACTGGTACTTTAAACCAATATACCAGACTAAATAAAGGCTGTTATTAAAACATTTGTCTCTGTGTGCCTAAGAGGGAGGAACATTTCTTTTTCTGTGATAACTTTTTGCAACTTCAAGAAAACCACAAAGTGAACTTTTCCCATTTGAAACTGATTAAGCACTTGGCTTGTGCATTCTTTTTATATTTGGATCATTTTCAAGTGAGTCTGGATAACATTTTAGGACTTGCAGCTGTGTCTTAGGACTCATTATATCCAGTTTTTAATATTAAGAAAAATAACATTTTTATCTATGCATTTTTTAAAAGCACATTGCCTTTCTTTCACATTTTTTCTTTTACTTTACATTTTCAAAACATCCTTGCCATAACAACTGAGCTTCGTATGTTCTTTCAAAAGGACTCTCAGAAGTACAATCTTTAACCTCATTCCCTCTTATTCCAAAACATCATATTTTGCAGTGTTTCCCATAACAATGGAAACTACAATGTTCATGTTTTGATCACCTCAAAAAAGATTCTCGCGCATGCAGTTTGCTCAGGCTCAGTATAAAGTGCAAAGTCTGACACTGTACATTTTGAAGTGTAATGAATTTGTACAACAGCAGAATGTGGTGTTCAGACGGACACGTCGGGGGCTCCAAGATCTGATGACAAATTGCAGCCTCTCAGTTTCCCACTTACAGCAGTAAGTGTCTTTGCATTATTTGTGTGGCAGTGGAGTGATGCATAAAAGTGTCTTAACTGTTTGAGCTCTTGGGAAAATAACCTCCACGTTGGCAGCCAGGACAGCAGCAATACTTCACTATCTACATGACCAAAGAAGTGTTTTCAAATATGAAACATTAATGTGCCAACCTACTATATTTCTAAAATTACACAGAATATTAACAATATGACAATAAATAATTAAAGCTTGGGTCTCTGTTTTTTTTTCTTTTTTTAAACTTGATACCCTCGACTGTGGAGGGGGCTATGAATATGCAATGAGACCTAGGAGTCTAAGAAAAGCCTACTAGGCTGAGAGTGCTTCCTCCAACACTTCCTGAGACTAAGGAGAGTTTAGTGCTGATCTGAGAGAGCTCTCAAGTGAGAGGCTGTCTGAAGTGACAGGCGGGGAGAGTGGAGGGGGGCCGCGGTACTATAACAACACTCTTCTTCTCTAAGAGGGGTCAATGCTGCATCTCAGCTTTCTAAAGAAAGCAGCAGCATTTTCAATGAGGGATACAGAGAAGAGCTGTTCACAGAAAAGACATTTCAGCTCAAACAACCACAGCGAGGAAATAAACATTTTGCACATGCAAATACACACAGAATTCACATTGAGAGTTATCTATGAGCCATTGTGTTCAAGCGCTAATAAATGAGACCCACAAAGGATATCAAGAGTATCTCTGCACAACATTAAAACGTGTATCCTGCATTTCCAAATCGCTTACTGTGTGTAAAATCTATTCATCCATTTACCTTCTCTGTACAAAGGACTGTTTACTTGTATGCCTATTATTCCTCTTTTCTGCCAGCATGTTTCTTAACATTTGCAGCTAGTTGGTTAACAATGCTGGCTGACCGTTCAGGATTTGGCTAATAACCATTGAAATCAGGGTCTGACAGATGGATGACCAATTATTTTGGAAGAGATATACAGAATCTTGCAGTCTGAGTGATGGATGCCTCCACTGCCATGAGCGATCTTGTGCACCTTTCCCCAGGGCAGGCGATGCAACCAGTACAGCTTTTCAAGCAAACACTTATTTCTTGGCTCTTAATCACAAGTACATACATGCTGGTACATGCTTGTATCATTATATAGTGAGATATTCCTCCTTGGCGTTCTCTTCTCAGCATGAAGAACCCGATTTGACAAATTGCTTTGCAACTTATTGCATCACAGTTAAGGTTTAAACCTTGCATATAAATGACTTTGACATGGTAGCTCAAACCAGAATCAAAGAGAATACACCAGTTTTCTAACAAACTAGCCTATATTTAGGTCCTACGGTTTAATGAGGGTATTTTGAAGAAGCAATTGACCTCCAAAACAGCGTGAAGCCGCTTAGAGGCATAACTTCTTTTTATCTTTCTTGCCAGCGGAACTCGAGTCTCTGCTCCCCATG